CAGGAAAAAGTATGTTTTAATGGATACGATCCATATCGTACATTTGGCAAACGATGTAAAATTTTCTAAAAATTCAATCTTACCTCTTCTTACTTATAATTCTATGTTTGTTTTCCATAGTATTGTAAAGCTATAGAGGAAATCATGGGTCTCATGCAAGGTCTAGTGTTATTACTAGCTTGTAGCATAATTATGAGATTCGTGCAAAACAAGGGAAAACAATATGCGTTACTTTGTGTTCGTTATTCAACGATAATAATTTATCACATTGAATACTTTTATTAGTCTACCTGTAAATACATTTTGTATTACAAAAATGTGTGTGTCAGTGATGACAATTAGCTTCTTAAAAGAAATTTAGTTTTTAATTACACTGTGAGACAGGTGTCCAAATTTTCTGTTTCATCTCAGAATAGAGTTGACGTCTTATCTGTGATATGCAGGCTTCATAACCTCTGACCCCCTTTCAAAATTTCATTTTAATTAGTTCCGCCCATTGTTTTCTCGTTTAGGGCACACGCTTTTTATTACTGGGGGACCATACGCCGCTTTTCATGAAATGGCACGGAAGTATCACATTGAAGGTTCCATGATAACCGCCGTATGAACACATCTGCGGATGTTTCTAAATTCAAAATTTTACTATTTCATGTTTAAATGTTGAATTCTGCTTAAGCCGGTGCTATGGGGCGTGGACGGTAACTTGCACTTTCCAGTACCGTCCATGAACAGGCTCAATCAAACCGAGCCTGCAACATTTCAATTTTGCCGTGTTGGGCTTTCTTTAGGGATTCTATTTTTCTCTATTGCATTAAGATTGTTTTCAATTTTTCTATTATTATCAGTTTTGAGAATAAAAAATTAAATATAAGAAATGAACTTTTGTATCAGTTTTTTTGTTTCAATATGAGGAAAGTATTACTCCATATTTCGTAGATTTAGTTATTCTTAATGTAAACCTTCAAATATGTCTGTTGGACACTTTCTGGTAACAAAAAAGAAGGCTAAAATGGTCACATCATACATCATCTACCAACCAACTGACATTCATTGCTTGATAATTTATACGATGTAAAAGCAAGCCACTGAATTACATTCCATAGGATTCAACTGTAAACCAACTTGTATATATTTAAAACACTCTTTGTAAAGCACTTGATAATGACCTTGAAGCTCGAGTTAAATTTTTTGACATAAGCAAGTCATTCGATAAGGTCTGAAATGAGGCAGATGTCTCTCAAGTCTCGATCCTTTGTGCTTTGCCTTTTCTTATTTATATTAATGACATTGTTCAAGATCTTCAATATTATGTTTACCATTTGCTGATGATACAAGCCTCTGTCTTGGCATTAAATTGCAGCTAAACTTAGATATTTAAAAAATAACTGCGTGTGCAAAGGAATGGCTTGTCACCTTAAAACCATCTAAAACGAAACAGTTACCATCAACCACTTTAAAAGCTTAACAAAATATACCAGCTGTAACTGGCCATAAACACTTGGGTTTATTCTTATCTTACAATTGCCAATGACACTCACATTTTGAATATATAAGTGATAAAGCATGGAAACAGGTAAACATAATGAGGAAATTAAATTTTGTATTAGATCGTAAATCTTAAGAAATAATTTATACGTCGTTCTTAAGACCAAATTATTGAATATGAAGACGTCGTATGTGGAAATGCATTTCAATATAAACTTTTAGATAAAATACAAGACGAATATGCTAGAATAGTACCGGATGCAACAAGGCTCGTTTCTATAGAAAATCTTAAAATGACGTTAGTTGGGAAACATAAGAGCAGAAACGTCATAATCATAGTCATAATCAATAATTATTTTGTTTTATGAAATTAAAAACGGCATAGCACCTGAATACCTGGCTTCGCCTATACCAGATTTCACAAACACTCGCTACAACTTAGGGAACTCAAATGACATAAGCAGCATATAAGTCAGAACTTCATCATCTTTTAATTCTTTCCGACTGACATACGTGTGTGGAATAATCTACACTTACACATACGAAATTGTCAACACTTTATAAGTTAAAAAGTTATCTACAATGTAACAAGCAATCTGCCCCAAAGTACTACTATTATGGTACATGTAATAGGAAACCTCAAATATTACATGCAAGATTACGCACAAAATGCAGCTCCTCACACAAAAGTATCACCTTTTTCTAAATTGTATATCTCCTACAACGCCAGTGAGTACGCCAAATGAAAATTTATTTCCACTATTCCTTTGAATGCCATAATTTAAACACATAGACAAAAACTATTTCATAGTCACTTTGCTCTCAATTCTCTTTGGCAGCCCAGATATCCATTTTACAGATAATGCCACTTTTTTCAAATATGTTCATATTTACATACATGAAACATAGCGATTCCTCTGATGTTATTTTGAGACACCAATTTCCGCTTCTTAACTAGACCAATTTTGCTATTTAATTATGTATTTGGTAGCTACAACATCACATTTAATCAGCAATTTTCATTCATTTTCATTGCTATATAGTTTCTTACTTGGTACTCATTTACGCATCTTTATTCTTTCCAAAATATTTATATTCCCGATTTGTCATATTTTTTTGATATAGTTCAAAACTTATGAAAAATACTAAAAAGGAGAAGAATTTCATAAAACTTAGTCTTCCATTCTTATCCCTTTCTTGATTATAAAAACGTTTGATTTGTATTGTATTATATGTATATACTCGTATTTTCGAGAAATAAATATGTTAAAAGTAATTAACCCTTGTTTGATTTAAGAATAAATGGGTCCAATGTTGGGGAATGAATCTTTATTTGAAATTGTTAAATCATCTGTAAATCATATTATTATAAATTTACGAAAAAACATCAAAGCAGCAATTCATTTGTTCGATACGTTCGTTGAAAATGGTAAATCTATAATATGTGTTATATATATTTAACAGTATGGATCAACAGACGACTTCTTAATGAGTACCCATTGTCTCGGTTAGAGCTACAAAAATAATTCTTAAGTTCTAAGAGACCATTCAGGTTTTTTTTTTTAATTTGTATGCATCGTAAGTAGCATGTACAATAACTGGTTCTCGGTTTCACTGATCTCGTAAAAATCGATTGAGTAACTGCAAAGATATTGAAAATTAAAATCTGAAAAAGTGTGATCCCTATAAATCATTAAAAAAAGCAAAATAACATAAATAATTTGCAGACTTGGTTTGATAAATCCGGCGCTAGTGTGCATAAAGGATGTTGCATTTTTCTATTATCCCAAAATCTAATAAAGTCTGCAATTTTTAATATCTTTGCTGTTTGTACAAGATTCCTCCAGATGAGCCAATACATTTCTAGAAAATCAAATTTAAGGAAAACTGTACTAAGAGTTTTAAGAGAAATAAAAAAAAACAAGAAAAAACATGTTTTATGCGATTCATGACTTATGTTTGAGTACTTATCATATGATTATATATTTTTACTGCTTGAGGGCTATTTTTGCGTATTTGATCTCTTTTATGTAGATTGTAAATGCCGTTTGCAATGTGCTAATTGCTTTCTTTGTTAACCACACAATCTTGTACTTTAAATACATTTTCAAAATGTTCATAAACAACAGCATGAATCCGGAGACATGCATCTTTAAGTAGTAGATATGAGCCGAAAACTGTCCAATATTTAAAAAATTGTGCTGAAAATTTAACAATTTATTAATTTTCTTTTATCAACATTTATATCATCCTAATATTGTTTTAATTTTTGATGGATGGACGTTTATTCAGATATTCTGACCAAAAAACACAATTTACGTTGTAGATATAAGCGGAAAACTGTCCAATATGTTAAATATTCTGTCCAATATGTTAAATATTGAATTCCATGAGGCGCGTAGCGGCGAAGGGAATTCAATATTTTACTTATTGGTCAGTTTGAGGCTTATATCTTAATCAAAATACACCAATTACACAAAATGTTGGACTTAAATGCATACAGTATACATCAATTTACATTGCGGATTTTTACAAGAAATAGTAAACATATAAAGTCTTTAAATTTGTGTTAAATCTCTGATATTTTAAAAGACTGACTGAGACGATTTATGACGTTTAAAAAGGATTTATACTTAAGATTTTAGTGTTGATTTTTTTTACTCTACTACACCTATCAACGATGTAAAATGTTGTTTAAAAATGGCCATTAGTGTGAACTTTGGATCATTAAGCAACAAAATTAGATTTTCTTATTTTTTAATTGATATTTACCATACCACAGGAGTTTGGAATGGTTTCTGTTCATAAGCCAATCATATATGTAGTCAAATGTAACCGCTTTTTAGATAGATGAATTAATTTTCTCTATTAATTTTATTTTAGAAACTGACCATTACTCAAATTTGAAAAGTTTACTTTACTGAAACATAAAGTATATACAATGAAGCAAATCAAGATTGATTGTCAACTAAATGTATTAAAAAAAGAAAAACGGACAAAAGGCAAGAAATTAAAGAATCCCATTTAAATCATATCCTAACTGAAGCTCCGCTACCTTTCACTAGTGAAGCATGGAAATCGAAAACCACTAGCCTTGAAAATCGAATTTGTTGAATGATCATAGAAATCATCGGCAGATAACAGTCATTGTTCTTTTCGTAAAATTCTGTAAAATGCGTACTGGGCGAAGGAAAGACGTTGCATACCTCGTGTTAACTTCTGATACAAGAGGTTACATTTTACTTCATCTTTTATTATTATTTTTTTATTGGATAATTTTCCACAAAGTCCTGTGGTAAAACAAACTTCTTTCACTACATGGCACGCTGTCTAATATCAATGTGTTAAGCGATTAATATAGGACTTGCACATCAATATTTGTATTGTATTGTATTAAAAATACAGTACAGTCAGAACAATGGAATGACGTCATTGTAGTAATTTAAATAATGTTCGTACATCTGTGGCAAAGATAAATTCATCTATCTATCATGATGTAGTTTGTAAAATAATCTATAAATACTTAACATTACACAACGCGGAGGTAAACTTGTAAGACTATTTGAAAAACGAGGTCTTGTTTGGTTTTAAAGTAAACTAGGATGGCTTGTGCGAGTATAAATGAATATGATAGTGGATCTGATGAAATATCAGATACGGTTACAGTAGAATGTAAGTTTGGATTATATATGATTACTTATTTAGTTAAAAAATCCTACTACCCTACGATATCATTCTTAGCTTTTCTTTTTTAATGCTGAATATAACAATATGAAATTTCAATATGTATTTATAACTTCTATCATTTTCCCTTCATTTATTGATAATCAATATCACAAAAACAATTTGCTTAAATTACACAATTTTAAACAAGAGCACAGCATTGGCGGGGCAATATAAACCTACAGAATTATATTTCACAAGAAATTCAAAAGCACAAAATATTATGCCTAATTATTATCAAAAAACAAAAAGATGTGCTTACAAATAATTTATTTTCTTATTATCTTTCTCAATACTGAATGTATTTGGGTTTATTTATATTCGCAACCGGTTGCCCAGATGGACGAGTCGTCTAGACGAGTATACGTTATTAGTTTTTGAAATATAGTGCAAGATATCAATACAAATTCCAGACGCTTTAACTAGTTCTTTAGCGTGCGAAGTGTTTAAGCACTCTTAGACGAAAGCTCGATTTAAAGTCTCATCCGAAGGACTGATTAATAATTTCAATTGGCCAGCCCTGGAATCGAACTTACAATGCCGAGATTACAAGACTCGCACTCTAACCGATTTGTGCTATGCAAGTTGCTCCACACAGACATTCACCTTATTTTCATGATTTGTAAAAAGGTAATAATTTAACTTTTATAAAGGCAACCAATTCATGTTACATGATAAATATCTACGTTCTGCATGTTGAAGGTTGGAGGAAAAGAGTTTTAACATATGCTAGTATAAATCTATGTATATAAAAATTGTTAGAGAATTTTTTACACCAATGAAATTTCTTTTTTAACTATTGCAGGAAGGGATACATGCCAAATAACTCGGGTGTGGGCATTGTACCTTTACATAAGAATATATATTCCAATCTAAGTGACCTCTTGGGTAGGGCCTACTGACCACCAAGAGCATGAGTCATATAAGTTTTGTAGAAGTCAAAGAGGCAATGCTACATGCGAAACATGTTAGCTTTTTCATAAATATTTTTTGGCATATGAAAATGTGTTCCTAGTACCTCCCTTTATCTTAAGCTTTACAATTCAGCAATTTAAAAAAATGGAAGTAGTGACGGAACTAATAGTCTGCAACATTTTATTTTCATTTCTTCTTTTAATAAATGTATATTCTAAAGTAATACATATAAAGACATGTGCTGCAACTTTATATCAGCCCTTCAACCCAAATAATTGTTTCAATTAAATCATATAAAAATTAATTACTATAGTCTGTCCCACCAAATTTGAATATTCCATTTTTTATTAAATATAATAGTGAAATCATTTAAATTAAAGTCATGTTAATCCTGACATCAATATCTCTAGGCATGTTTTTCATTTTTTCCATAAAGTCAGTAATATGGTCAAAATGTTAAAATAATATTTTTTCCCCGTTGACTTACGTTGTAACCTGACGTGACGTCCATTTCAAAATGGCGGCGCCCATACAGACGTCATTTAGGGTTCGTCTCACAATTAGCGTGAAATGTACTCGTTTATTATAAAAAATTGATTATTCTTATTTACTTACTGATCAATAGCTAAATGTTATCATTAAAATGAAAAATGAGAACAAAGTTGGTGTCGAAAAGGCAATTTTACTAGCAAACCATTATTTAAAATAATCAATTTAAAATCATTTGAAGTGAAATATCAGTAACCGCTTTATAAATTATAACACACAAAGATTTATATAATTATATAATTACCATATTTTATATTCTTTTTAATAGAAAAAGAGCAATATTATGAAGTGATTTGATTAGATAGCTTTTCAATCAAGCGCGTATGTTGAATACCGCAACGCGTCGTAAGGGAACGGGAACACTAGCTAGAAGACTGAAACAATGGTTCTTCGCTAATGTTTAATTAACATAATTCTGTAGTTGTCTGAATACTGTCCATGAGTATGTATCACGTATATTTAAAAATAATTAAATTAACCAGGTCCGATGGGATACAAAAATATGTTACCCTTCTTATTTCGGGTGCGATGTTCGTGCGTTAAAACTTTTCGTAGTTTTTAACTTTCACAACAGAAACCTGACGTATAAATCGCCAAAAAATATAACATTAGCATGCAAATCTGACACGAAATATATATAAAGGGGAACTGATTCACTATATGTTTAGTATTGTTTTGCACAGTGTCTACTTTAACTAGCTCATTTGCTAATGAGAGAACACAGACTCGCGTGCGAGGAAAAATGTAAATTATAAGAATATAAAAATGCTTTCTAGTTTGAGCAACCAAACGTTGGCCTATACACTTTAAGCTTGTAAATACAGATTAATTTTCCGTCTCATAATTTAACAAAATGTCCAGAAATACCGGCAGTGTTTGATATTATTAAGAATAAGATTGAATTGGAGCGTTTAATCAGGGACAATAAGTTTTTTTTGTAGACTCAAAGTGTTACATACTATGTTAATATGAAGGGGATATCGAGTCAAAGAGAAACACAGAGTGATGTCCTAAATAATTATAGCCTTCCTAAAATTTGAAAATATTCAGTGAAAAAACAATAGCTATATTTTTTCGCGAGAGAAAATAACACCGCATAGGGTCTATATTTTGTAGCTAAAAGAGTAGGATTTACAGAACTCTTGAATAACGAGATAATTTGTAGGGAAATTATTTCTGAGAAATATATAAAATAGTTTAAAAACATAAAGTCAAAACGAAGGTTATATGTGAATTAATGGAAGAGGTATTCTGTCATATAGATTCATGCCATTAAGTGTGCTTAAAATTATTTAAATGTTATCAAAAGTTTTATTGTTAATATATGAATTGAAGGTGTACTTTTAACAATTACTGCAAAATCTGGGTACTGTATACAAAAATTATTTTAAATGCCATCAAGACAAATTTATCTCGCTTAAAAATTATCTTTATGAGGTTACATATGCCTAACCGCCCTCTGCCAATGCTGCAACTGGAATCATCCATAAAAAGCCCGAGGCATTTTTGTTACGTCATATATGTCGTAAATTATTGGTGACGTAATAATGTTTTTTCGTCAGGAATCCATAAACATTGTGCTGTCGAACTAAATTTATGGGCCGTTTTTGAATTATGGATTTGGAACATACTGGATTATGATGTGTTTCATTTACATATTTCATTTGCTAACCCAGATAACTGCACAAATGGAACAATGTTTTAATAATGAGACGGATTATGAAAAAATCTGGATCATCATAAGTGTCATGCCATTCAGGAGTTTCAAAGTCTACGGAACTGGATATAAACTGGCAATGAAGTGATCTTCAGAATGCGAATTTGTCGTGACGTTTATAAAGATCTATTTCGAAACTCATAGGGATTCTATTCAGCTTAAAAGTAAGTGCTATTTCTAGATCTACTCCACAGACTCGATGATCTTGTTCAAGTTGTTGCTTGTTATTCATTTTTGTAAAGTTTTCTATCATGCATTGCAACGAAACTGTTACATCTTGTAGATACAGCTTTGTAAAATAATCATGAAACGACCCCGAACACATCATGTACATTTTAGAAACATGACACGTGCTTTCTCCCGTTCATCTTCAAATGAAGAGTACTTCGGCAATGGCTACGGAAAATAAACAACAGAGATTTGCCATAGAGAAATCAAAATTTGCTTTCACAAGAAAAGTAGACACTTTAGAGAAAAATCCTGAAAAATCTCGAGGGTGACTTTTTTTTAGTTTACAAAAATAGTTTAATTTTTATTCAACGTGTTTTTATTAATTCATACCAGGCAAAAGTTCATTTCCATTTTTAATGGGACAGACTATAGTGTAATAATCTTAACAGAAAATGTTTGAAGATATGAGGTTTAATAAAAATAAAGTTATAGAAATTTGGAAGTACAGGGATGTATTATACAAATATATCGGAAGAGAAAGGAAACATTTTGCTGAATCATACATTGTTATTTCTTTTGTTACATACAAACTTATAAACCGATTGTGAATGATAAACCGATAAATGTGACTTTGACCTAACCCGAGGAAGCCCAAACCTGCGCTTTCCACATCATCTCAATAGTAAAAGTATTTCTTCTATTTTTTGTTTCCAACTATCTATTAAAATGATACAGATCGGATACGACATTTTTTAATTGATACTCAATGGCTAATCGTGCCATTGACATTGACAGGAGGAAGGTCAAAGCCCTTTGCACATCGTCTTATAGTTAACATTTCTGCCAATTATTTTCAATTTCTTTCCGTCCGTTCTAAAGATACAGACCGACACAAAACTACTCACATACGGACGGGAGACCAGGTACATAACAATATTAGTCGATCATTTTATAATTAATTTAAATATATTCTGATTATTAATTTGCATCTTCTTATCATTTATTTAAATGCTTTAGAATATAGTTTAAGCGAAGCTTGACACAGGGATGAGACCAAGAGATTGAGTGTTTTTTTTGCTTTTTACTTTATCACTGAAAAGAAATACATTACCTTTATACCAAATCAGATCATACTAATTTATGTATTTAGACGATTATTACCAGTGATTAATATCAAACTAACAGTGAATTTAATTTATATCCATCGTTTTATTTTATTTATTGTATTCAGATGTTGTATTAAGATTTTGTTTCAGGTCAAGACTTATTTGTCTTAACCAAAGTGTTGTTGCTTATATATAGATTTTAGAAAAGAAAATACTTTGGTTATAATCTCGGTTTGCCTTATTACTCAAAACTATCTTTGAAAGCATGAAAAAGATAAAATTACATAATCATCTGAATGATTTTTTCTATGGCAGTAATAAAGTCGAGGGCAGAAAAGGGAGACATAAATGACGAATGTTCCTCTTTAAGAGCGTCATTGGAAGAATCATTTCAGAGACATGGCGTTAAAGGAATATCAGATTCGATCAGAGACAAAATGCACAGCTGGAAAAACGAAACACTAAACATTGCTGTAACAGGTCGATCAGGCGTTGGCAAGTCAACTTTTATCAATGCTATTAGGAATGATATGAACGAATTACAGCCGGGTTACGCACCGGTTGGCCATAAAGAATGCACCAAAACGAGAAAGCCTTATACGCACCCTAATAACGAGCTTCTGACATTTTGGGATCTTCCTGGAGTTGGAACAGACACATTTCCAAGGCAGACATATCTCAAGCATACGGAAATAAATTTCCAAATGTACGACATGTTTATTATAATGGCATGTGACAGATTTACTCAGGATGAGTCTTGGTTGGCTGAAGAGATAAAAAAGACTGGACGACCATATCTATTTGTACGTTCAAAGGTTGATGCACAAATTGACAGTGATGCCATCCAGAAAAGAAAAGCTAGCAAAGAACCTTATCCATCAGCCGTAATAAAGGAAATCCGTGAGGACTGCGAGCAACACCTTCCAAAAGAAAAAGACATTTATTTGATTAACAGCAATGACATTCATTATACAAACCTGGATTTCCCCGACCTGATCCTTCGTTTGGTTGATGGCTTTTCCGGACTTAAGAGTGAGGCTATCTTATATTCGATTGATTTTCTTACACCAGATATACTACAGCGAAAAATCAATTCGCTTCGTAAAAGAATATGGGGAATGGGCGCATTATCAAGTATTACAGGTGCAGTTCCTTTTCCAGGAACATCCCTTGTTGCAGATGCTTTGCTTATAGTAAATGAGACACGTCTATACCGTAAACAACTGGGGCTTTCGGATAATGATATGGAAGCACTTTCCGATATGATGAATTTGCCTATTGATAGATTGGCAGCCGAATACTCATTAGAATCACTTGCCCTTTCTTTCACCATAAAGGGGCTGATGGCATCGAGCGTTTTAATTTGTTCTGAAGTTATAGAATCGGCAGTTGGTTTGGCAGTTCCGGTAATTGGAATGCCTGTCGGTGCGGTTCTATCATTTATAACGACAGTGAAATTACTCCGCTCTATTCTTGCGATTTTAGAGAAAGATGCACGTATCGTATTGAACCTCGTTTTGTCAAAAACAAAGAGCAGCATTATGAAAACAGGCGTTGCTATAAATTAAATCGGGCATTTGTGACTAATATTTCTCGATTTTATGTTTACAAATTAGACTAAAACAAAAATTAAAATATCTAATTGTCATTCATACAGAAATTTTGATGGATTTCATTTTATGAAAGCTAACTAGTTAGTCAAATAATTAACGCGATAATTATATGGAAAACTGTTAGCAGAAATATGCCAACATAGGTTTTGATAATACCTTATTTCAACGGAAAATTGGACATAAATGGCATCCTATTTACCTGTATCGGTATTAAATGTAATGAATACGGAATGTGTACTGTGGGTTCCGACGATGATTATATGGGTATTCATTGGGTACCCTGGTGGACTGTTTGTATTTCTATGAAAGAGACTTAATGTTAAGCATCTCTCTAGATGTTTTTATAGTATTTCATAACACTTCCCGATACCTTCATGGTATTTTAAATTTAGATTATTCTTATTTTGATCAAATGATGCCAACTATCTATTTTAAAGAACTTAGACTGAATAAACGGAATTCTTAAAATGTCATCACATCATGTTTGAATCTTCGATAACAATACTATTTACTCAAAAATCAATGATTAGATGTTTTATCAATTGTTCAAATAGGATAATCCCATTTTCTTACAAATACAAATACTGTATTTCGCTTTAAGGCCTCCGGCCCATGCAAAAACATATATACAAAAAACAATTTACCCAAAATTTATAGCATGTGCACAATGTTTAAACATATACTATATATATATTATTTAACTGAAAATGACTGTAAAGCATAAACAATTTTCTGGGAGTTTCTTAATTATCATTGTGTATCAACGACATACTAGTTGTTTAACTTCGTTTTTCAAAAGGGTAATACAAAAATGTTGCTATACCCTTTATAAGATCATCATTTTCTGTAGACATTGATATATTAACTTTGTTTCGGGTTGGTACATTTAGGTACTCAATGGGTAGATATACACGTATAGTTTTCTTAGTTCTGAATAAAAATCACAACATAGAAAAAAATGAAAGTCATCTTCTATTACATTCTTAGAACATTTTGTGCACAATCTGTTTTCCCTCGATATTTTTTAATGTCGACCAACCTCAATTTCAAGATCACGTGACCCTACTCTAAAATTAGAGTATATACATCTAAATGTTCTGATGTCTAAAACATCTAAATCTAAATTTTCCTAAAAAATACCATAAAATTACAATTTTACATTAGAAGTTACAGATGAATAACACTCTTGTTGGTATTTATCTTTTAACCTATTTACAAATTGCTATAAAGTATTTTTCTGATGTAACTGATTGACTTTCCCAGACATATCCAAAACCATGACTTTGTAAAATTTCTTTTAAAGATGTAACCCAATTGTCATGTCCCTGTATATCATCATTAAACATCATTTAATAACACTTTTTAACTAATCTATCGTTTGGCATTTAAATAATTTTAAACCAATAGTTAATACACCTCTTAATGGATACTATGTACATGGGATACATCCCGCAGTCGCCTAATATGGCTAGATTGGATGCATTTTGTTTGCAAGCATAATATTGTACCCGTTCTAGCTCTTCAAATTTACCAATGCCCAAAATTTCAGCCCCATTAGTAACTGAGGACATATTTTAGTATCAAACAGTTTAAAAATTCTTTCTTATTTAATTGGCCACAATCAAACAAGGATTTTAAGATTGATATAAAAACCCTCTTACCCTTTATACATAACTCATGTACCATTCTGTTCCAAAGCTGTCTTGCAAATGTTAAACCAACATAACTAAAAGCATTGACAACTTCAATCTGCATGTTTTTATAAGTCCAATTTTCAATTTTAGCTAAGGTACCACCATTTTTAAAAACAACTAGTTTTGTTTTACTTCCATTTACTTTAAGTTTATATGTATCGCAAAAAGTTGACAAAGTATCTAACTGTTTTTGTAAACCAGAATTTGTATCAGAAAGGAGAGCAATATAATCTGCAAACATTAAAGATAAAGTTTTGTCTCAGATGTGTGTAATTGAATTCCTCTTATGCCACTATCATCTAAAATATGTTGTTATTCGTCTATATAGAAAGAAAAAAGAATTGAGCTGGCCAGACAGCCTTGTTTTAATCCTACTGAACTTAATATGTTATCACTTCTTTCATTATTACATCTAATACACGGTTTAACAGTTCTATACATACTTATATGCAAAGCTATATACAAATTTCCACTGACATCCCCATTTCTAAGTACATTTCAAAGAATTTGTCTATTTATAGTATCAAAGCATTTATGAAAATCAATGAATGCAACAAATATCTTTTGTTTTTACTAGTCTATCTATTAAAGATTTTAAAATGACTGCATTATCGACAGTTGAGTATCCTGCTTTCAAAACACTCTGCTTCTCAGAAATTTTACTATATATTTGTGCAAAAAAATTCAAACGAGCCACTAAAACCCCACTATATATATTACTTAAAACATTTTGTAAACTACCCCTATAGTTGTCCGCATTGTATATATCCCCTTTTTGTGAAGTGTTAAAAATATTCTGTATAAACTAATATCCTAATCACGTTGAAAGTATATAAATGAGAAAATACGAACTATCCTATGATATCAAATTGGCCTTTTAAAGCACTGGAAGTGCAAAATTACTGATACCATTTTAATTGCATTTAAGTGTTTGACTATCATGAAACACAACGTTAAAGTTGGTAATTGTGCTTTTAACTAAAACAGTGTACGAACGAAAGGAAAAGATATTGACATGTCAAAGCTAGATTCTGATATATTTTATCCTGGGTCAGAATCTCCCTTCTAATTCAAACCAGAAAGGTCCAAACCAGATACCTCGGAATATGAGTATATTTTTACAAATTGCAATTGAATTGCTTAAAATCTGCCCTATATGCGAACTATTCAGCAGCATGAATAAATTTGAACCTTTTGCGGCATTGCTTCTCTAAATCCTCCACGAAGCAGTTAAGTTCAAGTCGTCCTAAGTACCAATACATGATCAACAAATCGCTTAAAATTATTTTGATAAATGACCAGCAGAAAGAATATTAAAGCATTTGATAAAGTAAGCGATTCTTCTACTGTTGTTGCCTCCCTTGATTTTATTTCTAAAAATTAAAATGCTTATTTACTTCCTTGTAGAGTTTTACCACTGTATACATGAATTTTTCACTTCACCTTTACTACATTTGAAGCTGTACTTGATAAATTATGATTTGATAAATGATTATTTGTTTCAAATATGTCAATTAAATGGATAGTGATTTTGGTAGTTGTTTTATCATTACGAGTACTCACAATGATGCAGGGTCTGTTATAATACTAATGTTGTTTTTTTTTTCGTTTTTTTTTACTCAAACCAGCGTTTGTGTTTTGTGTTTTACTGATGGAGGAATATCTCTGAAGCCTATACGTGTATTGTTATAAAGTTTATACAAAGTAGGTATGTTGTGCAGCACCTGAAAAGAATCACCGACATTCTGTACGCTACCTTTTATATATACAATGTACATGAATACATAAGTACACATTGGAAAACAACACAACAACAACAATGCAAGATTTATTTGTTTAAAGGTACTCTAATGATGTCCAAAAAGTATAAAATCATAAAAATAAATACATAGATAAACTGGGCCTCTTGAAATGGAAACAAATATGAAAAAAGATAATATTAGAAGTATACACAAAATTGCATTGGAACCGATATTGAGTGCATTTAAATTGATCGATTTTAATACAAAAGTTTTTCATTTAAGCTCAATCTGCACAACAAAAATGATTATTTTGTAAACATGGAGTGAGTGAATGATCACAAATGTTTGGTTACATCCACATCAATAAGTGAGAACATCTCAAGTATATTTCCTGTCCTGTCATGTCAAAAAAACTCAGGGGAGACCCCTTAAGTCTTATAAAGCTTGATCTTTAAAAAGCCATAATCTAAAACAACACGTTTGTTTGTTAAATAACGAGTGGTTTGTTTTGAGGCTAAATTATCAGAAAAGGAAGAGGGCTTTGTGTTGTGGCTAAATTATCAGGACAGAAAAGGATTTTTTAAGGCTAAATTATTAAGAGAGATAAGGTATTGTTTTGAGGCTTAATTATCAAGATATCAGATTAGTTCAATGTTTTTACAAGCAAAAATAAAATCAGTTAAAAAGGTCAGATTTTGATATCGGGAAATTAAACATACAGAATAATTCCTTCATTCTTTAAACAGTTTGGTGCTATCATTACTTTTCTCGTTGCAAGCCTATAATCAAAGTTATAGATATGTTTCTAATATTGAGCTATATGAGTGTTTTTATACCCGAATGTAAATGTGAGTGTACAAGTAAAGGTAAAAGTGAAAATATCTAACCATGTCGTCATAATTGAAAAATAAAATTTTTCGAAATTTGCATGAATAATTGTTAACCGAAGTAGATCAACAAAATTTCCGAAAATGTGCTTCGGAATTCGTCGATAACGTTCGGGCGGGAACACTACTGGGTCAAACTTTTTAAATATATATTTCACTCTCGTCATAATCAATCATTTTCAATCATTTACGTTTGTTCATCTTATTTTCTAGCAGATTGTAGAAGTTGATATTTGGTCATATTTAGGCGGTCGACACATCGAACCGGCTTCGCCTAGATATTCACCAAAAATTAAAAATTTCTCATATTAGACAATCTTTTATAATATTTAACAAATTTATCTGACCACCTTAACAACGAAAAATGAGCATTATATTAGAAAAATGCTCCGAGTTCAACTTGAATAAGCCTTTTAAAACATCTAAATTAATCAAGGCTTAGTTTTGCATATATCGTCTTCATCAAATTATATATATTATAAATATGTTTCCAACATTGTGCCATATGCGTGGTCCGAATATAAATGTGAGAATAAAATTAAACCATTTGCATAACAAATTCTGATTGTGGACCAGTAGGTTATTAAACATGTCGATTCAAAAATAATACACCTAGATATTTAAGATATTGAGTGAATTACTATAAAGCAGTTGTACATTTTCAAAACAAATGAAATCAGAATAACAACAATGAACAACAACAACATACTCCCTATAATCCATCAAAAAGTACTTATTATAATAAATTCTTTTAGAAAATAAAATAAAACATTCTATTTCAATGACATGTCTTGTTATAGGTCAGTTTATTATAACTGAACCAATTGATACCTTACACTATTTCAGACACAAAAGCGATCACAAAATGTATATGCCGCAGCAATGTAAAACACTAAATATTTGTAGTCTTTTTATAAGTGATTTTTTTTTCTAGTAAACAATAATAAACAATATGACATATGAAAAAATCAAGAGCAACAAGGGAGGGTGGCATTCAATGAACACATCCCCATTACGACCCAGCAAGACCGGACTTTCGGCAAGCACACCAAACAAAAACAGTACATTGCACAAGAGCAAAGCACGGATGGGATGTTAATTTGAATACTTCAGAATAGAAAACTATCGAAACTAGACAGGAAATTAAAGAAGACGATTAAATAATAGGCCCTTACAAAAGTAAAAAGGTAAAGGGAAACTTGAGGACCGGGAAATGGGGGAGAGAGGGTGTAAAATTAAAAAAAAAGTTACCGTAGACGAGAACAATCAAGGGATACAAAAGTGTCACTACAATAGCATGTGGCACCAAACAATTGTAAGACATACATCTGACAAACCTAGAGAGGCGCAACCTTAGAACTGTCAACAGTATATGAACTACTAGGGAGTTTAAACCGGTTAATGATGCAGCAAACCTCTCCCTTAGCCCAAACATGTTCCAGTGCAAATAAAATGAATCCCCACCAAGCGAATTACTATGTAATGAAAATATTCCGTTCGTTAAAACCGTTTACAAACTTTAGCGAATATAATTAAATGAGAATCATATACCACGTAAAATACTGCATAGGGTTCATATCGATCAAATGTGTATAATTGACTATATCTTAATCAAAATCCTGCCATATATCATAGATTTACGTGTGAATAGTATTGTCATCGATTGTTATATAAAGATCCAAAAATGGCGTGATAAAAAAATAAAAATTCGTTTTATTTGGTTGAGGTTCATTGGGATATATATCAGACATCGTTTGATCAAACAATTTTTTTTATTTAAATTAAGAACATCATCAAGGTATCGGGAAATACAGTAGGGTTATACCATACCAGACATAAAGGATGTCTAAAAGAAAAGAGAATGCTCTAAGATCCTCGTCACATGTCCACATAGTATAATGTTTTACAATAAGTTTTTGAGAATTATATACAAGATAGGTAACTTTTTTCTCATGCATTTTGTAAATGGGAAATTGGTTTGTTAATGATTTCAATAAAAACTCATGCTGTGGAATTTTAGTAGTAGCTGTAATGGTCTAATTCCTTATATTGATAAATTTTTTAAACAAGATCATATCATATTTATATAATTAGAATATTATTACAGTTGATTTATACTAAAACTAACAGCGAATGTTATCAATATTTGTCACTGTATTTTAGTTATTATATTCAAATGTTGAATTTTGATTTTGTGACATGGGCTTAATTGCCTAAACCAGACTGTTTCTGTTTATTGTAGATTTGAAAAACGAAAATACTTCTATGGTTATATACTCAGCTTGTCTTATTTCTCAAAATTATTTTTGAAAGAATGAGAAAAATCAAAATAATCTGAAAAAACTATTTTATTGCAGAAATA